TTATATAAATATATTAGTGTAGATATGAGTTTGAAAACAATGTAAGTTTAAAAGAGTTTTGAAAACAATTTTAGCATTTAAAAGGGTTTAGTACGAGGTTTTGAAGTGCTTAAAATCTATAAATTTGATAGTAACTTGAAAGTAATAGAAAATCCTTCTGTTTGTTCTAGACATTAATCACATGCAATGAAAGCAATATCTAGAATGTTTCAACTTGTATTCCCCCCATAAAAGCATGTAAAATCATTTCAAAGGTTGATTAAGGGGTATGAACTCACCTGAAATGAGTGGTGCGAATGTAAGATCGGAAAAAGGATGCTAAGTGTCAAGTGAGGACTTGAGCACACACGGATCCTATTTAGCATATAAAGACACATATATGCATGCAATTAGTGTTTATACAACTAATTTAGAAGGATAACACTCTTATAGTCTAGGAAACACATATATGGAAGTGTTACAATCACGAATGATTGCATAAAAGGAGTGTATGGTCACCAAATGGAGCTTTCGGTCCAAGTGGTATGTTCTTAGAAGCTTTCGGTCCTAATGGTATTCTCGGTCCGAAGGGTTCTCGGTCCGAAGAGGTTCTCAGTCCGAAGAGGTTCTCGGTCTTTAGGGTTTTCGGTTAAGACCGAAAACTCAAGATCCTTGATGCATGTGGTGTTTTTCAAAGGCTTTCAAACATGCAAAGGGATTCTAAGCTTTATCCGAAGCCTTAAGTGAGTTTTAAGGTCTTAAAGGGACCTTTCTTTAGGGTTTTCGGTTTAAGGAGATGCACTAACCGAAAACTCCTTTTGTTCTTGGAAAAATGACGATTTCAAGGCCTTAAACAAGATTTTCAACTAGATAATAAGTGCGGAAAGCAATACTTACGATTTAGAGGCAAAGAAGGGTGTTTTTGGCCAAACACACACTAGTGTGTGTTCTTGGTGTTCTTGAAGAACACTTGAAGATCTAAGAAAAAGAGAAGATTTCATGGATGAAATCATGTATAACTACTAGATGAAGTGTTGTATCAACAAATCAAGAAAAGAAACACTTACATTTTTGGAAGATTTGGAAGTAGCTCTTATGACACTTGAGAGAAAAAGTGGGTGTTCTTGAGTTTGGAAGCAAGAAATGAGGGAAGGAGGAGTAAACTCATGCCTTAAGCATGAGTTCTCGGTCAAAGGAGGGTCTTCGGCCCAAACCCCTCATGTTTGGCCATGAGCACCTTATTAAGGTGTTAATTGTTTTATTTGCTCCCCAATAATCCTATAAAATACTTCCTTTCATTTATTCTCTCGAAAAATAAATATTAAAAATACCCAACCGGACTTTAAACCGAGTTAAAAATTAGCAGAAATGATTTTGACTTTTAATCGAAGTGTTTGACGGTAGAGTTCGTACAAATGAAAATTTCGGGTTGTCACAAAAAGTTTGACCACGTTCTATTCTCTTTTCCTTCGCCAAACGTCTTGCTTCTTTTTCAATTTCCAGATTATAAATCAAAGCACCTGTACGTTGAGATCTGGGCATAAAAAAACAAATTGATTAAAAATAAACCAATCCCCGGCAACGACGCCAAAATTTGGAGGTTGTCGAGGCCAACAAAATTAATACCCTAAATATCACACACTAAAATAGTGTATAATGGGTCTCGCTAATTGCATGCCTTGGCCCATTTAAAATACAATCCAACCCAAATTTCCTCATTCATCTTCAGCCCCACATGCACAACTCTTGGTAGCCCAATTATGTTATTCCAAAGCCTCCAATGATGGTCCAATACTTCTTTAATCCTCATCAACTCGAGTCCTCGTCGAAAATTAAATCCAACGCGCATCCCGCTTGTACTGACACCGAGCCCAATCGCCACACTTCAAGTCCACGAACAAATTGCAAGCCCCCAAAAGTCTCGCACTCCTTCCACACCTCCAATAACAAATAGTCTTCGATAAATCCTGCAAATAAGCTCAAAAGACTGGAAAGCACCCGGTAAAGGAGAAAAATAATAAAAAGAGAAGATATGCATGAAGATTAACTAAAATGAGATGGTTTTAACTAAAAATAAACTATGAAAAGAAGTAATAAAAAACGAAACTATCACTATCCGGACCGCTCGTCGGGCCTTCTGCCTGACTAGTGTGCCCTAACCGGGTCTGCAGTCTATCCGGTCCACCCTGGGTATGTTGGCCTACAACACAAAGCAGGACCTGCCTCAACCCAACCCCCAATCAAACAATCACGTGCATATAAATATCATACACTATCTAGCAAGTACAGATAGTCATACAGATCTAACAGATCACTAACATGGCAACCATCCTATAACCAGGATACCGATCTAACCGATCACTAACATAGCAACCATCCTATAACCAGGATACCGATCTAACAGATTACTAACATAACATAATCCTATAACCAGGATACCGATCTAACAGATCACTAACATAACAACCATCCTATAACCAGGATAACGATCTAACAGATCACTAACATAGCAACCATCCTATATCAGGATACAAATCATAAAGGGCCGGCCTTGGTGCCTTAGACCTTGTTGAAATAGTGAGAAGAACTCACCTCACAATGTCGAAATGTAGTGATATGATCAAACTCCCGAATCACCGTCACGAACTCAACCACCTACAACCACCATATGACCAAGTCCACCAGAATCCCACATTACCAAAATACCCTCAAAAGTCCAACTGGTCAACCCTTGGTCAAAGTCAAAGTCAACGATCAAAGTCAACAGTCCATGTTGACCAAACTCGTCGAGTGCAGCTATCAACTTGTCGAGTTCCTTAAGAACTCAGGAAATCATAAAAACCCTAATTGACTCGCCGAGTTTCCAACTAACTCGTCGAGTCCGTGCGTGTCCAAATGTCGGGGAAAACCCTAATTGACTCATCGAGTCCTCTTACTGTCTCGCTGAGTTCATGTAGAACCAATGCATGCAATCTTCATCCGACTCGTCGAGTCGGCTATGCGACTCGTCGAGTCCCTTCAGTCCATTTCTCATCCAAACGTTTTTAAGCTACCCCAAAGCTCCATATTACAGATCTAACCTCCTAGGGCATGGTTTCCATGTAAAGTTGCAAACTTTACGTACATGCATGGTCCTAAATGCCAAAACCAAGCTAAAGGAAAGGTTTAACCCAAAAGGAAGGGCCAATGCTTGCTAAATCTGATAACTTTATGACTATAGGGACCAAGAGGAGTCCAGATCTGAAGTTACAACTTCAGATCATGCCCAATACCCGAAACGACTCCCAAATGTGCTAAAAATGGCCCTAAACCTAAGCATGAAGAGATGTAGCTAAAGATAAGTCAAGGTAACGACTTGTTACCTTCATAATGATGCCAAGATGAAGTAGAGTCAGATCCACAAGCTTCTCTTTGCTCCAAGCTCCTTAGACTTCAAGCCTTCTTCACAAAATGCACCAAAACCACTTTTTAAATCTCACAAACTCTCAAGAACAAGCTTAGACTGATTAGGGTTCCTTCTGGCCGTCAAGAAGTGGTAAAGGGGCTGGAGGAAAGGACTTAAGGTCCTTTAAATAGGGTGCAAACCCTGGAAATTAGGGTTTCCATGCACAAACTCTACTCGTCGAGTCGGGGTCCTTCGACACGACGAGTTGGGGCCTCCAACTCATTGAGTTTCCTAAGTAAAATGAATATAGAGCTTTTGAAAGTTATATCAGGGAGTCGGGGTGTTACACTTAAAACCCGCCACTGTCTCCCTCACTTAAACTGCCATCATTGGAGCAATCTTGCCCACCATCTACCTCACCAGAACCGTCATCACCGGAGTAATCTTTTCTGGAAATCGGAACCGAAAGAACAGAAATCAAATGTATGTGTTTTTCAGGAAACAATTTTTGTTTGTCTTCTTCAACCTAAGAATCGAAAATCTGAGGAGATTTTTTCGCAGAAATCGAAACCCGAATGCAAAAAAAAAATCGATTTAAGAAACCCACAATCGAAAAAACCTAGATTTGGAGAACTCATACATGTATGTAAGCTCGTTATAAATCATGTTCAAGAAACTCAGATGCAGATGAACAAATAGATGAAGATGAACACACAACCATTGGAATCTCAACCCACTCACTCATATAAGAGATCTAAAGAGGGCAAAATGGTCTACCAAAAAGAGTCTTGTGACTCGGTATCGTGAAATGCCTTGACCTCCCTTATTCCTCGCTCAAATGCCTCTGTCTTCCCCTCATCGCTGTTCCGCCATGGTTGATTCTCAGTCACAATTCAAACAGATTCAAGAAATAGCGGCTCTTGGGGTTGCTTTCTGGTCTCTCTCTCTCTCTCTCTCTCTCTCTCTCTCTCTCTCTCGCTCGGCTCTATCTGTCTATCTATCTATCTATCTATTTATCTAATGATTTATCTATCTATCTATCTATCTATCACACACACACACACACACTCTCTCTCTCTCTCTCCCTCTCTCTCTCTCTCTCACACACACACACACAATTGGGTTTCACTTTCAGGCCATTAACAATGGGTTCAAAGTTTGTTTTTGGGAAAGTTCGAGAAATCAATAAATTGTTCTTCGGGTTATCAGTGGAGGAGAAGAAGAAATGCTTACGAGCAAAAAATGATCTTTAAGTTTATGAAAATCACATGGTTTGGTGTTTGGTTTGTTTTTTTTATTTTTTTTATTTTGGTGTTCAATTTTTTTATTTTGAAATAAGAACACAATGTTGATTTTGATTTTGATTTCTAGAAAACAGGTTTGATGTAAGTGTTTGGTTTGGTTTGTTATGATTTATTTGAAATTCGGTCGAATTTCATAATAAATGATAACAAACCAAACCAAACACTTAACATCAAACCTGTTTTCTAGAAATCATAACAAACCAAACCAAACACTTACATCCTAATTCTTGTGCTCCGACTTTGGCCATTTTGAATTGTAAAGAAAACAACACTTGTGGGTCCGATTCCATCATCATCATATGAAAATAAACTGATTTCTTCATTATCTGGTGATAGAGCCGTAGAGGAAACCATATACGACCATAGTAATATATCCGATACAATTTGGTGAATGTGGTTATAGGTTATGACGGGGTGAATCAGAAGGATATATCTTGTGACTAAAATTTCCCCCATTTTTTGTTTAACATCAAGATTGCCACAAAATCTGATGTGAAGCCCAGCTTGTGTGACACTTTTGGATTCAATAACAAAAAGCCATAGCTCATCAGAGAAACGGAGGACGAGAGTTGAGGTCATAAGCCACCGACGAACTCCCTGTATCCTTGTTATCCTCTTTTCATCATCCTATCCCAGATCTTTTATTCAGCCGGGTCTCGCCTCATGCCCCCATTGGAATCAATAAAGAACCCTAATTTCTCGTCATTCACTGTTCACTGTCATAATTTGAGAGTGACCAAGTGAGAGAGCGTATCAATGTTGCCTCATCTCGCCTACCGCAATTCACTGTCCACTGTCAGTGCTGCTGCCTACCGCCTCCGTTAGTTCCAACTACTTTTCTCTATCTTACTATTTTATATAATTACACAATTCTATTTCATCTATATTGATATTGATTTTAGGTAGTGAATTTTAGGGTCGTATTTATTTTCTGGGGATTTTTAGATTGGTGTTCGACACTTGATTGAATTTGTGAATTGTATTCACTTAAACTTGATTGGGTACTTCGTTTTTGTGTACTTAATTACACTGAATGGGTTTGTTTCTTGGCATGAATTGATGGTGTTTGTTACCCACCTACCCAAGAAATAATCCAAGAGTTGTCGAGAGATTGTGAAAAGAGTTGCTTTTACTTTCTTAAAGCTTAAATTAAAAAGCGAATTGTGTCTGTTCAAGCATCAAAAAAGGTGACTAGTGATTTTTTGAGGTCATTTTGATTTCATGAGCTACTAGGATGAATTTCAACATCCAAACGTTATATATTTTAGAGATGGATGTAATATTTTATTTCAAGCCTATATGCACAGAGTTTCATGTCTAATGTTAGTTATGCAGTACAACATGTGTGTGTGTGTGTATGAATCATGGTTTCTCCTGGCCACTTTGGGTTTACGTTTACTTGACATATTTTGGTGTGTCTTTAGATATATTCTTATAAATTTTATTGCAATTAGTGTTTTAATGTATGAATCATGTAGCTGACTCATTATTTGTCAAGATTTTGATTTTGTACAATTGTTTAAAGAGTCAAACTACACTAAAAGAGTTACATACTACTATTAAATCTAGGAAGTAAGGCTCTATATAAGAATACTTGACTGTATGTGGGCAATGCACACTCATTGAAGGCTATCATTTTACCTAAATCAAACATTTTTTTATGCTTATGATTCTTTGACTGAAGCATAATGTTGTTAATATTCATTTATGTAAGTTTTCAACTCAAGCTGGTGGCGTGTCTTGCAGGGATAAAAAATGGTATTAATGTGTCTGAGGCAAGTCCATCCCATGGCATTCATAATGTAAATCTGTAAACAACAGCAGTGCATATTTAGACCTAGGATCTCTACCATTACCTGTCCATGCCTACAAACTCTTGTTAAATTGTTTTTATTTCGAGAATGATGTGTTATTGATATGTTGTGCTAAACTGTTTACAGCAGGTGTTGCAATGTGGTTCTATTGTAGCTGTAAAAGTTTTTGTAGTGACAACATGTTCATGGTGGCTATGGAGATCAAGTTTTTGGCAAATTCGGTTCTAAATCACTTGGATTTGTTTTAATCAAGTAGTGGAAGTTGTGTTGGAGATACCTTATTTTTTTCCTAATTAAAGGTTAGATGTGATGCTAAAAACTTATATTTGTGAACAACAAACAAACAGGTGAATTAGGGTGTCTGCTTCTTTTTTATTTTATAAACTTATTCTTAAATTCTTAATCTGGTAAGCTATATTATATATGAAGTTGATATCTATCTGTATGATGCACAGGTTTAACACCAGGTGAGATGAGAAGCTCCTGGAGTTGTATCATGGGAAATTGGGACAAAATCTGGATCCTGTATTTGTGGAACTGCTGTACTAAGAAGAAGATGATCCACTTGTGAGAAGCTCCTTTTGGTTTCTTTCTATACTGTATGCCACATCATATATGTGTTTGTTTGTAGGAATAAGCAGTGAAACCAATGATGATCATGCAAAACATGTGAGGTGTGATAATTATTATTGCAGCAATCAGTGAGTGAGTGAGTGAGTTGTACCATTTAATTTACTTTGATCCATCCAGCAACTGCAACGGTAGGGTTGTTTGTACACCTACCTGCAGTCTGCAGAATAACTTAGGAATGAATGATCTGTGTACTTTTGTTTTTTGTAAGTGAACCATTTTTCGTGTTGTATTGTATTGAATTATGATATTGAAGCATCTTTATCTTTATGGTAAGTTGTTTCTTCCCCATGTAGATATCATGCATATGAGACTAGTATGGCATCCATCATTCCATCATCCGTATGTATGCAAACAATTATTTAGTGTGCACCACAATTCACAATTCACAATTCACAAACATATAGGGGAGAAGCCATTCTGCATATGTCCATGTCATGTGTAATCTGACATGTACCCATGTGCATGTGCCCCTCATGCTCTCAACTGACCTACCATGTTACTTGTTTACCAATATACTTGCTTGGTTATTATTATTATTATTATTATTTTTATTTTTGTGATCATCTGCACCCAACCCAGGTTCATGTATGGTGGACACAGTGAAAGTAGCTTAAACTATATTTACATATGAATATAAAGTTGTAAGTTTTTATGTTGTTAAGCTCATAATTGGCCTCTTGGGTTAATTATAGAAATTCAAAAAGTTTCTTTTCAGTTGTGATTATCTATTTGATCCCTTACTTGGTTTGGTTTGGTTTGGTTTGGTTTTTGAGAATTAAAGTGATACTGATGGGAATGAAGCGAAGGCTGACCTTTTAAGAAGAAATTTAAGATGCTATTATTCTATATAATCAAAGACAAAGACAACTTACCCTTATAATCACATTGCTTTAGATGTTGATAACCCCGATTGATTACTTAATTAATTACAATTACTTGACAACGCCATTGCAACCACACCTACTTTGAGAGCATATTCATATTACCCAACTTGTTAACAAATGATGTGACTACATTAAGTAATGTCCCTATTTTTTTATCTTTATTTTTCTTTCTGTTAGGTTGAGTTGCAATAGTCTAAGAATCATTTATGTACTACTTGTACATGAAAATATGATTGAAGTAATTCTTTGGTTAAACTTGTCATCTATCAAATGTTGATGTTGCCTTTTTGCAAATTAAAGAGAGTATATTAAGTGTCTTTATACATACTGAATAAGCGTATAAATTATGAATCATTTATTACTAATCCTTCATCACTAGTTATTATTAGACTCGCTAGACTCTAGTTAAACATGGCTTACTTATGTCCGTTTTAGGTGATGGTGATGGCACCACAAAATACAAATGGTAAAGGTCTATAATGCCTTCCTTATAAGTTATTTTTCCGATAAAGGATTATCAAATTAATTGACAAAATTTGTTAGTTAACAAGAAAACCATTTCTAATTTCTAGTGATTAACCCTCTTATACTAAAATTAAGAACTAAGCTTTAATTACAATATACCACATTGGATGCCTTGAAAGGATGTAAATGACCGTTGAATCCTCGCATTGACCTCAATAATTTCTTGATCCACAATCACAATGTAGTGTAGTATATTCTACTCTATACACACACACACACACTCATTCATTTCTCAAATGTCATTTATACCCTTTTGCTTTTATTTTTATATAAATTCTACATATCCATACGATCATATACCCTATTTTTTATTTTCATATATGCGATCCCATAAAAGAAAGATCAGTAACTTACAAATTCAATCACTGCTACGCTCAGATCTCGGATCTAATAATTAAAGGTATTTTAATTTTACACTGTTGTTGGGTTTTGGCTTTTTGTTTCTTCTGATAAACATTTTTTTTTTTAATTGAAAGGGCAAACTTGGAAATTCACCGTGACAAAGGCCACTGCACCAGTGCACCTTGCTGTCTCCTCTCATGTCCAGCTCATTAAATCCTGATGGGCTTTGGATATGGCCCACAAAACAAAAACACAACCACATGGAAATTATTATTTTAATTTCTTTCTTGAAATTATTCTCCATATTTTATTTTACAACACGATAAAAATATCAGTGTCTCCATCTCAGGACTTTGCTACAAAAACCCATTCCCATTCATCATCCATTGCTCCTTCAAACTCCCCCTTTCTCTAATTTCCCAGTCCTACTTTCAAGAATTAATTTCTAATCCCATTTTCAAGAAAATGAGAGAAATTCTTCATGTACAAGCCGGACAATGTGGAAACCAGATCGGAGGGAAGTTTTGGGAGGTCGTGTGTGACGAACACGGCATCGATGCCACCGGGAAATATGTCGGTAACAGTCATGTTCAACTAGAAAGAGTGAATGTGTACTATAATGAGGCTAGTGGCGGTAGGTATGTACCTAGAGCTGTGTTGGTGGACCTAGAGCCTGGTACGATGGACAGTCTGCGTACCGGACCATATGGTAATATTTTTAGGCCTGATAACTTTATCTTCGGCCAAAATGGTGCCGGAAACAATTGGGCTAAAGGGCATTACACCGAAGGTGCCGAGCTAATTGACTCGGTTCTTGATGTTGTTCGTAAGGAAGCCGAGAATTGTGATTGTTTGCAAGGTATAATTTATTATCAAATTGTTTTTAAACCGCAAAATCTTATATTTGAAAAAGACGTTGATTTTCGTTTGCAGGTTTTCAGGTATGTCATTCGCTTGGAGGGGGGACCGGATCCGGTATGGGTACCCTACTGATATCGAAGATCCGTGAAGAGTATCCGGATCGGATGATGTTGACTTTCTCGGTTTTCCCTTCACCCAAGGTGTCGGATACAGTTGTTGAGCCATACAATGCCACCCTTTCTGTTCACCAGCTTGTCGAGAATGCTGATGAGTGCATGGTTCTTGATAATGAAGCACTGTATGATATATGTTTCCGTACACTCAAGCTCACAAACCCAAGCTGTAAGTCAACTAAATTGTTTTTTAAGAAAAATATTTTTAAATGGTATTTCAATACATGTGTTTCTATTAAAAGACAATTAATTATATTCATTGTATAATTGTCGGTGACAGTTGGAGACCTGAACCACTTGATTTCAACTACGATGAGCGGCGTCACCTGCTGCCTCCGGTTTCCCGGTCAACTGAACTCCGACCTTCGCAAGCTCGCCGTGAATCTCATCCCCTTCCCTCGCCTCCACTTCTTCATGGTCGGATTCGCACCGTTAACCTCCCGAGGATCACAGCAGTACCGTGCCCTAACTATCCCTGAGCTCACTCAACAAATGTGGGACGCTAAGAACATGATGTGCGCCGCCGACCCCCGCCACGGCCGTTACCTCACTGCCTCCGCTATGTTCCGTGGAAAAATGTCAACTAAAGAAGTCGACGAGCAGATGATCAATGTGCAAAACAAAAACTCTTCGTATTTCGTGGAATGGATCCCAAACAACGTGAAATCGAGCGTCTGTGATATCCCACCTACCGGACTCTCGATGTCGTCGACGTTCATGGGGAATTCGACCTCCATTCAGGAAATGTTCCGGAGGGTTTCTGAGCAGTTTACGGTGATGTTTAGGAGGAAGGCTTTCTTGCATTGGTATACAGGGGAGGGAATGGATGAGATGGAATTCACAGAGGCTGAAAGTAACATGAATGATTTGGTGTCTGAATACCAACAGTATCAAGATGCTGTGACCGATGAAGTTGAAGAAGATGAATATGAGGAAGAGGTTGAGGAGAATTAAAAGTCAAATTTTCTGAAATTCAAATTCAAAGGTATGTAATATTTTAAAGGGGTTGATTTGTTTGTGTATTTTTGGCCTTTTGGGCATTCTCGAATGTTGTTATTCTTGTAAGATTCCTTTCTTTTATCCCCAATAAAGTGTTCCACTTTTATCTTCAAGTGTTTTGACTTTTTGGGATGCAATATAGTTGACCAAGGTCTATATGGGTAACATTACGACCCATACTAAAAAGTTATCAGTTTTAACCCGAGCCGATATTACCATGTTGACCAACTTGCTCTAAACAAACAAATCAAAATACGATAAATCAAACATATAGGGCGAAAAGAAGTTAATGGTGCAGTTTCATAAGAGTATGAACAAGCCAATATTATCCACTGTTGGTAGATTACAGCATTGCAAATTAAACATCTACAATCAGCATGGATTTGAATTGACAGTTGAATCCTTAATCTACCCAAGATTCTGTATGAACTCAGAGATCACTCACTTGGCATCAAGGGTAAAGATGCGTCATTCAGCACCTTGATAACACAATGCTAAGATAGCAAAAAGAAGATACAAGCAAATCAAGCTCAAACTCAAACTCAAACATTATAATCACACCCTTTTCTTTCATCAAGCTTTCTTTTTTACTTAAAAAAAAGTGACGCCTTTTCTGTCAAGAATCAGTTTTCTATCAATCCCCTTTTGATGTTTTCTTGGATGCTGTAAAGGGCAAAAGAGAGCATGGGGGAATTTATAAAGTTTTCCAATTAAAAACCATCAAATCAAGTGATGTTCTTTTTCTCTTCAAGGACTGAGGCTTCTTTGAGTGCAATTTGTGCTTCATTTTCCCTCTTCAAAGCGAAAAGTGCAGCAGCTTGTAAGTAGGATGCTATATGCCAGATTGGGGATATGACTTGTGTTTGTATAGCATCATTGAGTGCCTCATCCGGCATATCACTCATAAGATATGACAAGCTTCGGCGCGCATACACAGTTGGTGAAATCATAGTTCCTACATCGATGAACTGAAGAGGAAAACACTCCGCAGATTAAATCCAAATACTAAGCAATGTTCACTGCTATAATTGGCTACTTCTTTCAAAGTATAATCGCCTAATATGAAATTAACTAAAAGTAGGATCATGCCATAATACACCAATAAATGAAACCATTGTTGCTATTTCTTGCATTTAGCCTCTTAACCATTCTTTTATGAAATAAATCACCATTGAGGGCAGTGTTGCAGAAATCGGCCTTGGCGGCCGATTAATCGCTTGGCGGCCTCGAACCGATTACGATTAGGGTGCTTGGCGGAAATTGGTCAAAATCGGGCTTGGCGGTCCTCGGCGGGAAATACTTAAAAAATTCAAAAAAAAAAATAATTTTCTAATATTACACCAAAATTTTAAAATTATAAGGTTTCAAATTTTAAAATTTTATACTAAAAGTTTTAAAATTTCAAAATTTTAAATTTTAAAATTTCCAAATACTTAATTTTTTAAGAAATATTGATTTTTTAAATAATTTTATTAATAATTTAGGGTCCCGATTAATCGCCGACTAATCCCCGCCGAGTCTGATTAATCGCTTATCGTCAGTCGACTGCCGAGCTACCGCCGAACGATTTTTACAACCATGATTGAGGGGTATTTAAGGCATTTTCTTTTTTTGCAAGAATGGTGATTTGCTCATAATAAAAAGCCAAGTAAGATGGTTTCTTTTTGCACTATTGGAGGAATTTTAAGACATTTGTGATAATTAACCTGGGTATAGTAGTCTATTGCGGTTTTGAATTCTTTATGGCGAAAAGCCACATCCCCTTTCTTCTTGGAGTTCAAGGTGTCCTGCATCTGATTTGTCCACATATGGAATGAGAGCTGCAAGCCAATTTCAAAAAATCATGACTCATGAGTGCCATGAAAGTTGACTTTGAAAAGAAAATGTCAAACCTCGGCTGTTGCTCCCTCATCATCTTTGTAGGCTAAATTTTCCAAGATTTCATGTATGGCTGTCAGATCCATTCTCAAGCAGGCTTCACCGAGCGGGGTTAGAGGCATAGCACCACCACCACCTTGTGGTATGCCCATTAATACATGAGAAGGCTGCTGTGAAGTGATATTTAACATAATAAGTGGTGTCTGGATAAAATAAATATAGATGGTGTTTAAAAGATACCTCTGTTTCCTTTTGGAGAGGAACCAAAGCAGAAACCAATGACTTTGGATTTGGGCGCTCGCGTGGCTCGTATTGTAAGCATCTTGAAGCTAACCGAACCAATTCGGTTCCCTCATCATTAGAAAATTGCCCTTCTAAGCAAGAGTCGGTAAGCATTTCAAGGTTCCTGTCCCTTATTAGGTCAAGAGCCTGATAAATCAAATCCACATGCCATTCATTCATTATTAGATAATAAATAGATTGCAACATTTTTCAAAAAGTACAAAAATAAAATCACCCAAATATACAAAAATTTTGGACATCTAGAATACATACATGGCTAGGCGGAATGTGTTTTCCACTTAGTAGGTCAAGCAAAAGGGTGCCAAAACTATACATCACACTTTCCGGTGTTACCCTCCCTACAAATTTAAGGAAAACAAGTGTTAAAAGATCGAGAAATAATAAATAAAGAAGTTTCTTTTAGACGTGAAGAGGCAAGACTTATCTGATAAGCTATATATGAGTGTGTGTGTGTTTTTTACTTAATGCAGAAAGAACGACTTAATAAATAAAGAGAGCCAGGAAAACGAGGCTTTCCCCATTAAGTCCTAACTTGTTACAAATTTGATCCCATTTATTTGTGCCATAAGTAAGAGTAAGTACCAGTCCTTAAATACTCGGGAGGGGTGAAAGCCAAATTGGTACTGTAACTCTTTCCATCTCTACTGTTCTTCATCAACCCAAAGCAAGAGAGTCTGGGGTTTGCATCCTGTAACAAAATACTCGGGTCACATAAAATAACCATGAATCGTATGGGTTATAAAAAAGCAACAATGAAAGGGTAATAACATAACATACATCATCAAAGACTATTCTATACGCATTGAGATCATGGTAAAGAGCGCGTCCTTTACTTGTACAATATTCTAAAGCTTCTGCAAGATATAACGCCACCCTTAATCGCATTGCCCATTTCATAGGTTGTGTTTCCCCTAATTCAAGAATCAAGATGCAAATAGAATTAAAAATTGGATCAAAACTCACATCAACTAGAAATATAATAATTCCACAGCACTTACAATGAAACAAGTGCTTTGCAAGTGTTTCATGTGGCATAAACTCAGCAACAAGTAGTCTTTCATCGCCTTCACAACAACATCCAAGTAGATTCGTCAATCTAGGGTTTCTGAGTTGACCAACTGCTCTTGCTTCATCCTGTTATATTTTGCAAGAATGAATGATTTTGAACAAAAAGTTTTTTTTTTTTTTTGGCATTTATATTTCCAAAAACATACAAAATAGAATCTTGTATGGTATAATGGTACCAAAGATGTACATACCAAGAATTGCCTGGAATCAGGCCATGCAGATCTATTGAAACGTTTGATGGCAACCTGTCTTTGGTTTTGCAGCTTTCCTTTATAAACAACGTTAGGGGCTTTTTCACCATGTTCAGAGACTATATTCTCAACAGCAAATCCAGATGTCGCCATTTTAAGTTGTTCAATGCTGAATTCATGAAATGATGGCAAATCACTTGCCTCGTCTGCCTCTTCTTTTTCTGAAACAAAACAAAAAATGGTCAAAAAAGTCTTTTAGGCAACAAAAAGAAGCAAATTAGGAAGATTTTCATACCGACATCATGGGATTTGGCAATCACTCCATTCGGTTCCATAATACAGCAGCAGCAACACGAGCAGAGTCTTGAAAACTCACAGCCCATTGCAGAGTAATCTTTTAAACTTCCAGATTGATCGAGTTGAACATCAAAACTCCTGCTGAATTGGATGGTTTATTCAGTTGTAAAAGAAAGAGACTTTATGTATGTATACAGCTCGCTTGGGCGTAACCCAACTTTATGTACCAGTTCTTAAAAAAACACCTTTAAATTCAGAAAATGACCAATAACACGCACAGATTGATCAAGTTGATTAAGATTGTCAAAAATCAAAGCATTTCACACTTCAATTTTCCAAATTAAAATCCATTTCACATTCACATGACACGTCCCCATCATAATATCTGGAAATTTGCATTAATATCAGATAATAGAGCGTACACGTATATCAAGTACCTTTATCAGCAATCAAGAAATATTAAGTGGAACTGCAGAAGTACCAAATTAGGGTATTAAAGTCCAAAACCCAGATCAGCAGAGCTTCATCTTCCAAAGAAACAGGCAAAATGAGCTCCTTTAAGCTGAATAAGATTAACCACGTATGGGTAACTATCAATAAATTCAAGAAAGGGAGAAAAATACGGACTTTTTCAAACCTTTTGATTCAATTTACATGAGCCGCTGCAGCTCATGGACCCAGTAGGGTAAAAGTCTCAAAAGGACAAACTGGGTCTTTGTTTCTCTCTCCTCTCACTAAAATTATATGCGTGTTGAACGAATCAAAAAGATGATTGGAGAAGAAATTTGGGGGGTTTCAGAAATGAGATGCGTACGACCATTAAGATTTGCAGATCTCCTGCCACTTGATTTCAAGTTTGCACTCAATTACTCTCTTTAATTTTCCATTTTCCACCGACTTGATCTTTTTAATTTGTAATTGTCCTGTCTAAGCATTAGCTTACAGAAACAACCCATGACCATGAGAGGTACTTGTTATATTTTAAATAATGGAAGTGCTTTTTATCATGTTGTTTGGCTGTTTTTGGCTTTTTGCAGTGAAATACTCCAAAATAATATAATAAAAACCATATTTATGATCTTTGTTAATTAAAATCAAATATTCAAATTTGTGTTATAAAATTTAGGGAAATTGAGTAATCTAATTATGTCTGTATTGTTTTTTTAAAAGATAACAAATTTTTTTCAAAAAAATTGATAAATAACCGTCTAGTTCGGAATGGACCATTCCGGAGTGAGGTTATCCAACACGGCCCGTCCATTCCGTATTAGGTTCCGGAAAAAATGACACTACATAATTCATTCTAGAATACATATCGAAATATCATAATATTCCAGACTCAC